TAAAATAAAAAAGCTAAAAACCTTCCCTTAGAAATACATTATAAATCCAAATAAACAAATACAGCATAGGTTATTTTTGACAGGCATACAACTTTTAGTTTCTGATCATTAGCTTTAGTAATCATTATCTTAGCTGATGAAAAATAAAATATTTATGATATTGAAAATACAAGCAAGCAATTTGAGTAACTAGTGAATCAAATACAATTTTTAGTTCCAAAACCACAAGTTTTTTTTTAATCAACTAACGCCCCTTTCCCCAAAAGACCTCAGAATCTCTGTAGTATTAATATAAAAACAAAACAAAAACAAAAAACCAAACCTGTTGCTGTTGAGTAGATTCTGACTCATAGCGACGCTACAGGACAGAGTAGAACTGTCCCCTAGGGTTTCCAAAGAGTTGCTGGTGGATCTGAACTGCCAACCTTTGGTTAGCAGCCGAACGCTTAACCACTGTGCCACCACGGCTCCAGCATTAATATAGGCCTTAATAATGTTCATGGATGAAATCATGGAGTCCATGTTCAATGTAAAATGATTTAGGGGCTTAGATCTTTAATTGAAATCTCCTGTATGAATTTTAAAAGATTCCAAAGCAATTTTATAAACACAATTTCATTTCCTTTAGCCAAAATGTTTTACCAATACTGACCTTCATGTTTGAGTGCTGGTTTTTTTTTCCCCAATCATTAACTTTAACCTTTTTGGTTAAACTCATTTCATGCTTTGTAATCAATTAAAATGGCAGATTAAATATAGAAAAAAATTATTACTTGGAGTCATTTTTTTTTGCAGTGCCATATAGCTAACAGAACAAAGACTGAATTTCAACTCTGCTCCTGGCGAGCTGTGTGATGAGATCTTAGGGAGTTACTTAACCAGGCTAAGCCTCAGTTTTCCCGTCTGGAATTAGGGACAATGATACATACCATTATTTTGAGAATTAAATGAAATAATATATACAAATTGCCAAACAGGGCACAGCATAGTTGCTCTATATGTTATTGTTGTTATTAGTGTTATTTTATATCTAATGTTTTAGAAAACGAGTATGGTTACTCAACTGACTGGAGAGAAATGGCCAAACAGATAACATGCAGATCATTTGTATTGCTCAAGAGGGCTGACTTGCCTGACTTTAATGTCTGTAACCTGGTGATTTCCAAGTTTATTAAAACATGGCTTAAAACCCCCACGGAATGACTAGTGGGTTCAAACCACTCATCTTTCAGTTGGCAAACAACCACTTTAACCACTTTGCCACCAGGGCTCCTTAAAAGTGTGTAGCATTTTCTTTACAGGTAGTCCCTGACTCACGACGTATGCAAGTTATAATGAACTTTTTTTTTTTTTTTTGGTACATCTTATCATTAGTAATATGTACTACACACAATGTTGCATCATATCTGTAAATTTATACGTAATGTTTCAAACCCCCAAAGACAAATAAAGATTAGACTTATAAAGATACTGATAATAAACGACAATAATAATAAAAACTTAAAAAAAAAAAAGAGGTATTGGACTTAACGCTAGAACCAACTTATGACAGAGTCACTGTTGTAAGTTGGAGATTTACATTGTACATTGTTAAACTATAATTTTTCCAGAGATTGCACATGTAGTAGGTAGTATTTTGAGATATTAACTGTAGGTTTTCTTTGACCTCTGCCTCCTTGTACTAATTACCTTTTCCTGATCATTTAGGTGACAACACCTAGAAGGCCAAGGTCAGGACAGATACTGCTGGGAATTAAGAAGTCATTCATCAGCTTTGAGTTTCACAGTGGACTTTTTTTTGAAGCCCACAGTAGAAACAATATTCTTGAATTCATACCTGTCCTTTCCAGAAGGATGGCCATTTTGAGAGGTAAAAAATTTGCTGAGCTCCAAAGGGCTGACAGCCTTAGAAGACTCAGTTTATAGTAGAAATCAGAGTAGGGAAGAATGCATGGATAGAGTAACATTTTCTTGGCTCCAAAGAGATAAAATTTGGCCAGTATCCAGAAAGAGGGTATTTGAATTAGATGAGAAGAGGTCTTATGATTGAACAAGGAAGACGTAGACTGCATTGACTGGCGATAACAACCGCAGATGCAGCAGGTACAGGAGATAGAAGATGATGCTCAAGACCAGAAGAATTACACTTCTGCAGAGGCCAGTGGAAGTCAGAGAACAGCACTTGGACCAGAGGGCTTCCCCTGATGACAAAGCAATGCAAGTCGCCAGGGAACTGAGATCACTTGTGAGGAGAAGGGAGGAGGAGGGGGAGAATTCTAAACTGAGTGGTTATTCAAGAGACCAAGTTTTAAACCAGAAACATGTGTGAGAAAGGCCACTACGTAGAAGAGCTCATATTCTAAGTTGGGTTCAATTATAAAGAATTTTTTTAAAAACTACTTTTATTTTCTAACTTTAGAATTTGTGACTGTTGAAATATATCCACTACATCATCAACCTTAAGGGAAACCTCAGGTTTTAGTTCTTCTTCGTGAACCTGAAAAACTCCATCATCTAAAAGGGTTTTCAAGATCAGAATGCTCAAGGAAGAAAAACAAAAGTCGTCTCTTTCAAATAATTTTTTTTCAATTGTCATAAAATTTAAAATAGACACATGTAATTATTACCATGGATATTTTAGAAGACTACATTGAAAATTCCTTCCTCAGATGGGGTACCTTATCTTAAGCAGATTGAAGCTGTTTTTTTATTTCTTAATTTAAAAGTAAGCTTTCAAAAATATAACTTAAAGTGTTAGTTACCATGTACAAATATTTTGAAGACCAGTTTCCTTATAAACTTTCAAAGTCTATAATTTTCCTTTTATAAACTGTAAATAAAATGATGAAGTATAGCTATAAGAAGAGTCTTTTCATATGGAAACAACATTAAAATATTTTTGTACCATCAGCTCTTGATTCAGCCTTGTCTTCAGCTGAGCATGGTGGATACTCACCACAATCTGTAGGTTTACCATTTTTATTCACAGCTGTGTTTCTGAGTCATGGCCAAAGCTGACTGTATTATAGCATAAGCCATTTGAAATATTAGCCATAATAAGCCATACTAAGTCATAATAATGGGGCATCAGGATTGGAGGAAGATTCATTAACAACCCGTATTATGCAGATGACACAACCTTGCTTGCTGAACGTGAAGAGGACTTGAAGCACTTACTGATGAAGATCAAAGACCACAGCCTTCAGTATGGACTACACCTCAACATAAAGAAAACAAAAATCCTCACAACTGGACCAGTAAGAAACATCATGATAAACGGAGAAAAGACTAAAGTTGTCAAGGATTTTATTTTACTTGGATCCATAATCAACACCCATGGAAGCAGCAGCCAAGAAATCAAAGGATGCATTGCATTGGGCAAATCTGCTTCAAAAGACCTCTTTAAAGTGTTAAAAAGCAAAGATGTCATCTTGAAGAATAAGCTGCACCTGATGCAAGCCATGGTGTTTTCAGTCGCCTTATATGCATGCAAAAGCTGGACCACGAATAAGGAAGACTGAAGAATCAATGCCTTCGAATTGTGGTATTGGCAAAGAATACTGAATATACCACGACCTGCCAAAAGAACCAACAAATCTGTCTTCGAGGAAGTACAGCCAGAATGTCCCTTAGAAGCAAGGATGGTAAGACTTCATCTCACATACTTTGGACATGTTATCAGGAGGGCATCAGTCCCTGGAGAAGGACATCATGCTTGGTAGAGGGTCAGCGAAAAAGAGGAAGACCCTCAATGAGATGGATTGACACAGTGGCTGCAACAATGGGCTCAAGCATAACAACGATTGTGAGGATGGTGCAGGACCGGACAGTGTTTTGTTCTGTTGTACACAGGGTCGCTATGAGTCAGAACCAACTTGATGGCACCTAACAGCAACATAATAAGACATTAATGTTGGACATAATAAGACTTTATATTAGGTTTTAAGGTCGGCAGTTTGAATCCACTAGCCTCTCCTTGGAAACTCTATGGGACAGTTCTACTCTGTCCTATAGGGTCACTATGAGTCGGAATCGTCTTGATGGCAATGGGTTTGTTTTGGTTTTATATGCTTACTGAATCTCAGGTATGTAGAAAGGTGGGGAGAAGACGGACATGAGATACTTTTTTGGTGCTGTTGTTTTAAAATCATTAAATCCTAAAAGCAAATACTTTAAAACTGTTATCTTCAGTAATTTTTTGTTCCTACTCAGCATTTGACTCAGTGGAGCCATGAGAGAGGGCATTTTTACCTTGAAAGGGACAAGTTAAAATTTGATTTGTTGCCATGGCACAGAGCATTTGCCTCCCAATGAGAAAAAAATAAGTATGTTAGTCTATCCTGGTCAATATTTCCTTTTTGAGCTTGTATGTTTGCCTTCCCCACTGTCTGTCAGTTTGTACTGTGATGGCTGTGTGTTGCTATAATGCTGGAAGCTATGCCACTGGTATTTCAAATCTCAACAGGGACACCCATGGTGGACAGGTTTTAGCAGAGCTTCCAGACCAAGACTGGCTAGAAAGGCCTGGAAATCTACTTCTGAAAATTAGCGAATGAAAACCCTATGGACTGCAACAGAATATTGTCCGATATAGTGTGGGAAAATGGGCCCTGTAGGTTTGACGGCACTCAAAATACACAGTGGCCGCAACAATGGACTTGAGCATGCCACTGGCTGTAGGGATGGTGCAGGAAATGGGCAAAGTTTCATTCTGTTGTGCATGGGGTTGCCATGAGTCAGGGCTGATTTGACAACAACTAACAACAACAACAACATTTGCCTTATGCAATGTTATAATTTAATTTGGTCACAAAACAGGAATAAAGAATTTACAGATAAAAAAAGTGAACAAAAAATTTTGTGCCACTGCATTACTCTAAAAATATATTATCTAATAACAAAGAAAAAATGATAATTACATTTTGGATAAAAGAAAAATGAGTAAAATATCTGAAGCATTGAACATATAACAACATTACTGTAAATGTCAATATTCATGGGCTACTGTGAAGACGGTTGTAAAAGAACAAGTTCTAATAAAAAATAAAAAGTTTGAAATAGCCTGTTTTTTATATCTTAACAATTTAAATCATTGGAAATTCAAGTTTCTCTTCTAAGAGTTTTACTTACTATGGTGGTGAATGCAACATGGTTATAAAGAGGCACTCCTGAGTACAATACATCCTACACACTGACTGAGAACATTTATCGTCTTCCACTATTTTCCAGTAAACCTTCCTATTATCTATCTGCTCAGTTGTAGGGTTGGAATGTGCTTTAATAAATGGATGACTATTCAAAAAAGGAGAAAATATATCTCTCATTAAGACAGACCTCTTATAGTGGATGCTGGTTGTTAAGAATCCAAAGGATTTTCTCAACACTCTGTCCCATAATTTGAGTTGGCACAGTCTGTGTGCCACACGGCCCTATGGCATTATTTTTGCATTCCAATGCGTTGTCTTAGCTCAGCTGCAGTTTTTTCCAGTTGTTGAATGTTCCATTGCCATTGCCTTCTATTTGACTGACGCTTTTTCACCTGACAATGCAATCGCTTAAGAATTGCATCGTATCTCTTATGCTGTACCTATTAAAAGAGAACAAATCAACAGAGCTTGTGAAGGATAAATAGAAAACAACCAGAAAGGATATCTTGACTACTCTAAAGAGAAAAGCATTTGACTATAAATTATTCACTGTAAATAATAATAATAAACAGTAATATAACTATTTAACACTTATTACATGTTAGATACCATGCTAAGAGCTTTTTATATATAATTAAATTCTCAAAACATGATGTGTATATTATTATTCCCATTATTCTGTTAAGAAACTGAAGATCAAAGAGTCTAAGTAATTTGGCCAAGGTTTCACAGCTACCAAGCGATGGTATTTGGGACTTGAAACCAAATGAAGCATCCATGATGGAGTGTCGTCTACTTATCAAAGTAGTTTCAAGTTAAGAGGAATGGTTTCATTTCCTATATACAGTGGTTTACTGAAACAGACTCACAGGTCTAAAGGATCTGAGGAGCTCATGTAGTCCATTTCCCTGCCATTAAGTAGATCAGTGTTTATGCTGAGCCAGATGGTGCTACACTGGAAGGCAATGAAGCATAGTGGAAAGGGCAAGGGTTTTGGTGACAGATCACAAGAACGTATAAAAAAGCCAAAATACCCTAATATTAGCGTTCACTATACAAAGAACACTCGTTCTTTTTTTAACAGCTTTATTGAAATATTCACATTTCATAAAACTCACTCTCTAAAGTGTATGATTCAATGGCTTTATTCTCAGAGTTGTGCAGCCACCAACACAATTTTAGAACATTTTTCATTAGCCCAGAAAGAAACCCAGTATCCATTAGCAGTCGCTCTCTATTCCAGCCCCCACCCCAGCCCTAATCTACTTTCTATCTCTATAGATTTGCCAATTCTGAACATTTCATATAAATGGAATTGTACAATACATGGTCCTTTGTGACTGACTTCTTTCACTTAGCTTGTTATCAAGAGGCATCCATGTTGTAGCATGCATCAGTACTTCATTTTTATGGCTGAATAATATTCCACTGTATGGATATACCACATTATATTTATCTAGTTCATCGGTTGACGGACATTTGGGTTGCTTCCACTTTTTGGCTATTAGGAATAATGCTACTATGAACATTTGTGTACAAGTTTTTTTGTGGACATACATTGACATTTCTCATGTAGGCATACCTAGGACTGTAATTACTGGGTCATATGATAATTCTGTGTTTAACCATTTGAGGAACTACCAGATTGTTTTCCAAAGTGGCTGCACAATTTTACATTCCCATCGGCAATGTGTAAGGGTTTCAATTTCTTCACATCCTTGATAATATTTGTTACTATTGTCTTTTTGATCATAGCCATCCTAGTAGATGTGAAGTGATATCTCAGTGTGGTAGAACATTCACTCTTAAATGAGCTAACAGAACAATAGGGCTGGGGAATTTATTTGTTCATTATTACACCTATTTTAGGGAGTGCTTTAGCAAGTCAGTAAGGTGGTTCTAGGTCATTTCAAAGAAGTCTGAATTTGTCAAAACACCAATTCACCAAATTTACCAAAACAGAAGATTTGCCAAAAATAAGTTTACAGCCTAAGAGGGTACAGGAAGCCAAAACTCCGGGTTCCTGGGGCTGTAAGACCTTGTCTCTGACCTGTCTTGCTTTCTCTGTATGCTTCAGCTTTCTTCTTTACTGGGACCCACGTTATGCTGATGGCAAATCTCCTCCTTTCCCCCAGCACAGGTTCCTCTCCTTCCTTGTTCCTCCCTTAGCTCATTTTAGGTCATTTGTATTTCTTTATTATGCCTTTGGCAGTATGATGAAGACTATGGACTCCTCAGAAAAATGTTTTTAAATGCATAAAAGAGAACATGTAGGATCACAAAGGAAACCAATTATACTGAAATAGTTCTGCAGCAGCAGGGGCACTGGGAGAGACAAATCTAAGCACTCCAAATACTGCTATGAAACACAGCGAAGACTTGTCAACTAAAACTGCACATAAATTGCTGTAAGCTTTACGTATCTTTTTCAGTTTTTGTTAATTCTGCAAATTCAGAAAATCATTCAGATTGGTGAAGGAGGCCTAAAATGTTAATATGTTGGCAAAATTACTTTAGAAGGACTGGAAATAAATTAGCATAAACTAAACTTTATCATATTAAATGATGAAACTATATTCGAAACATGATTTTTTATACGTTGAATATAGTCAAGAGGATATATATCCATTGGATATACCCAATAAAGTATACTAATAAGGAGAATATAATCATGAAGATGGCAAGGACCAGGCAACGTCTTTCATTCTGTTATACATAAGATTGCCATGAGTCAGAGCCAACCCAATGGCAACTAAAAACAATAACACAGTCACTGAATACGCTTATATTCATGTTCATAGAATATATTCACAGGAATATAACAAACAGAACACATCTTTTGTTAATCAATAAATTTGATAAGCTGCAAACTGACTTGCTTCTACAATTATTCTTTTATGAAGGTAATACACAATGGATCAGAGTAAAGATGTACAAAGCCCCTTAGAGGGCGTCTAGATCACCATCTACAGCTAGGTTACAAAGAACGTGTTTAATATATCTAAAGCAAGAAAATATATTCAGAAGAGGTTTTGTGAAGAATGCAGCAAAATTAGGCAAGTGAAAGAGGCATATATTGGTAGTTGCTATGCAGTTACTGTCTATCTGACAAATACAGCCTTGTTACGGAGATTGGTTCCTTGAGCGGCCAGAGTCAGAGGCCAAGAACAATCAAACTCAGATGACTGATTTGATGGCCATGCTCACTAATCAACCTTGTGATAATTTGGTTTCCAGTGTTTTTTCCCTATGGGGGGAAAAAAAGACCGATAACTGACATAAGTTATCTGGTCTCCTTGAGCATTCTGATTATTATTTTAAACTAATCAACTGGCATTTGAGTTTTATGCATCAGTTTCTTGTAAACTTTACTAGCATCTCTCCACATCTACCTAACTCCGGGACACTAACAATACTGTTTCTAAGCCCACAAGGATAAAAGGCAGTTTGGAGTCGGTGGTGACTTCTTGAAGGCAAAGGTAACTCAGCTTGTGAACTTTCTTGAAGGCCAGCCATTTATTCAGCCTCGACTGGTAAAATTCTGACTTTGATATATGCCTTAATATTCAAACTTGAATACCATTAAGTAACTAAGAATGTAGTGGTTCCGAAGACAATATAGCTTTTTTGGCTCTAGGAAATGGATGGGTTACTATCCTTTAGACAACTAAATCAAAGAGAAGTTAAATGACATTCAAATGGCAGGAAGTGAGCTCCAAGTTGTTTAAGTACAATGTTCTCTCTATGGCAAAACAATAATTACATCCTGTGAGAGTTTGTTAGATACATGAACAAGTAAACATCAATAAATAGTTACTGTTGCTATCTTGGCAGAAATAAAACAGAGAAGCAGATACCAACAAAGCACGGTGGCAAAAAGAGAACAGGACCCTATATAATCCAAACTTCGCTCTGACCTCATCTCCTGCTACTTTTCTTTATTCTCTTCACTCCAGAAGCATCACACTTCTATTTCCTGAACCCAGGCATGTTCCCATCTTAAGACCTCTGCACTTGCTTTCCTTTTGCCTGGAAAACTTCTCAGACATCTGCATGCCTAGCTCCTTCAGTTCTTTCAGGTCTTTCCCAAAAGAGATCTACTCAGTAAAGCCTGTTTGGCTCCCAGATCTAGTATTATACCTTCTCTCTCCTGCACCACCCACAACAGTACATATCCCCTTCTGTGCTGTTTTTTTTTTTTTTTGTCCCTTAACCTACATCCTTATCTAATATGTCATATATCTTACTTACAGATCATGTTTAGGCCTATATTCCCAACTAGAATGTAAGGTTATTGTGCTTTAGGTGAAAGTTTACAGCATAAATTAGTTTCTTGTTCAAAAGTTTACATACAAATTGTTTTGTGACCTTGGTTGCAATCCCTGCAATGTGTTAGCATTCTCCCCTTTTCCCTTTACACTCTTGAGTTCCCTGTGTCCATTCATCCAGTTTTCGTGTCCCTTCCTGCTTTCTCATCTTTGCTTTTGGGCAGGTGTTGCCCATTTGGTCTTGTACATTTGATTGAACTAAGAAGCACGTATATCACGTGTATTATTGTTTTAAAGGCCCATTTAAGCTTTGGCTGAAAGGTGGACTTCGGGAGTGGCTTCAGTTCTGAGTTAGCATGGTCTCCAGGGGCCACAGTCTCGGGGGTTCCTCCAGTTTCCGTCAAACCACTAAGTCTGGTATTTTTTTGTGAATTTGAATTTTGTTCTACATTTTCTCCTGCTCTGTTCTGGACTCTCTATTGTGATCCCTATCAGACCTGTCTTAGTACTGAGTTTTGAGGGGGTGGCGTAGTGGTTAAGAGCTACGGCTGCTAACCAAAAGGTTGGCAGTTCAAATTCACCAGGCCTCCTTGGAAACTCTATGGGGCAGTTCTACTCTGTCTTATAGGGTCGCTATGAGTCAGAATTGACTCTATGGCAACAGGTTTTTATATGTTCAGGATACAAGTGGCCTCCCATTTTTCTGATAAAAAAAATCAATCATCATTCTTATCATTGTTCTTGTGCATTTAATGTGACTTTTTCCCCTGGCTTTTAAGATTTGTTCTCTTTACATTTCGTTTTCAGTAGCTTGACTATAATGTTCTTAGGTATGGTTTTCTCTGTGTTTATCCTGCTTGAGGTTTGCTGAATTTCTTGAATCTGTGAGTTATCTTTTTAACCAAGTTTGGAAAATTTTCAGCCAATATTTCAAACATTTTTCTTTTTTTTTCTCTGTCTCTCCTCACCTCTGGGACTCAACTCCACATATGTTAGATTGCTTAAGATGGTCCCAGAGTTCATTAAGGCTCTACATATATTTTTTTCAGTTGTTTTTTTTTCTTTTTCTCTGGAAGCTTGTTTAGATGACTTCTACTGATATCTTCAGGCTAGAGAGACTGTACCTTCTGTTGTATCTAACCTGCTGCTAATTCACCCAATACCTTTTTTAT